GTAGGTCAGTCCTCCCAGTTCTTGGACTAGTATTGTTGCAAACGTGTGGACCTTGTCAAGTTTCCGGATATGCTTGACCAGGTTTGGGCTCCATGCTGATTCTCCCTACAGTGAGAGATGCTCGACACGTTTTGTACATCTTTAGGGACCTTAACGAATATTTTATGAAGTCTCTTCTGAGATCAGCAACCTATGTTATGCGATTTATGTGCACCTCTAGCGAGGTGTTTGGTGTGAAATTTACTCAGAATCTTCTTTGAGCGATATTTGTAATTTCTCGTCTTTCCAGTTGTACTGTGTATGGTCTACTCTCCCTCCCCGAACTTGTATGGACCACCCTTACACCATGTCAGACACTTCCAGTAGCCTGTCTGTATCCTTTTCCATTCTTCTCATTATCCTTTACATTATTATTATAATCAAAAAGAAGCGCTAAGCCACAAGGGCTATACAGCGCTGATTATCCTTTACAGCTCTGACAAATAATGATGCATAAAATTCAACCTCCTTCAGCTGGTCGTTTCCACTCGTTGTCGTTTCCCATCCTGAAACTTCTGCCTTACCACTGGTCTGTTTTCAGTTGTGAAGGCTTACTCAGCCCTGTAACAACTTCAGTCAGTATTACTAAGGCTGGCTCCTCCTCAGGAAAATTAATGTATAGAAACAGAATAAAAACTGACAAACATAAACACTTTATTATTTAGAAAATATAAAACACTTAAATATGAAGTATTAATCCTACATTAAAGAAAATGAAAAATATAAATGATAACTGAATTCAACGCTAATATAAATGTATATAAAACGTGGGTGTCTGGTGTTGGTGACACTGCGTGTTGTTGAAATCGTAGCCGTTGCTGATGATGGGGGGATAGGGGGTCGCAGGTGTTGATGACAACCCACCGGCTCGTTCTTCACAGATTTTCTAGCTTTCAATAATCCTTCCAGATGACAGGAAAGCAGGTTTTCTCCACTGCAATGATGAGGGGTTATATCCTGCTACTTGCATACACAAACAGGTAAGTGGATCAAAATTCGGGACAACTCAGAACGTTAGTCCGTCTCCTTCAATTCTACTCGTTGAGTGGCAGGTGACCCTCTCTGTCATCCAAGCTGGAAAGATAGACAGGTTACCCACTGCTTAAGAAATCACTCTCCATGGTAAGTACAATACCTAAAAGACGTGGTGATTATTACAACAGTCAGCTTAGAGCAAGACTGAAAGGACTAAGTTTATTACTGGTCAAAAGTGAAGCTTTCAACCAATAAATCCACTGGAATACAAGGCAGGCATGTACTTACAGTAGTGCTGGGAGCTGTGAGTCTAGTGATTACTGTTTGGACTGGAGCCCCACACGTCACCTTTCGAGGGGGGGGGAAGGAGGAGGGGAAGGGATAGCGGGAGCTAGACTGACCCTACCTTAACAAGTAGCCGGCAAGCAAACTAACACTTTCGGGGAGGGGGAAAAAAAGCCGGGAATAGCGGGAGCTTGACTTACCCTACCTTAACAAGTAGCCGGCAAGCAAACTATCACTTTCGGGGAGGGGAAAAGGGGGGGGATAGCGGGAGCTGGACTTACCCTACCTTAACAAGTAGCCGGCAATGAAACTATTGTTACTATATCGGTACTCCTATCTATTGAACTTTTCCCTCGCATCAGTTCCTTAGATACTTTTCATTCTCTTTAGCATGTACTTCTACCTGTTTTAATTTAAGAGTCAGTCTCGTAAGGTACAGTGTTTGATGCTCTCCTGCCATCCAAGAATATGCAATCGACTCATCCTTGTTTTTCGATTTTGATTTCCTCATTGTACCATAGAACTCCATTACATCCGTAAGTCAAGATCTCATTTTCCTAAATTCATACCTTCTTATATATGACTCACGAAATCGTAATGACACGATTGCAAACAAACCATACCACGGGCGGGGATAGAACCCGGTCTGGAGTTTTAAGACTCTCTGATCGCGGATTCTATTCCCGCCCGTGGTATGGTTTCTTTATATATATATATATATATATATATATATATATATATATATATATATATATATATATATATATATATATATATATATATATATTATAATGTAGTTCCTCCCTTCTAGGTCCTCGACCAGTCTTTTCCTGATTACTTTTTCCAACACTTTGGAATGTAGACATGTCAGTGATTGGGGTTTTTAATTGTCTCTTGTCTGTTTTCCATCTTGTATACTAAGACTTTATTTGCAGTTTTCCAGTAGGTGTTCCGTCTCTAGTGACTTGTAGATCTTTGTTATAGGTTCATACAGTGCTTCCGATACCAGCTGGGGTGCCACTTTCTCGCGTTCTCTACATTAATTGTTACTCTGACACACTGTGCTTATTGTGCCAGCTGTTGCTCCGCTTATTATGCATGATGCTGCCTTTATCTGCACTCAGCGTCTGTCCATCCCGGGCGCCACCCCATCCTCACCCCGGATGCTACACCACCATCACCCCAGCCTGTTTTACTTACCCTCGTCACCCCGGACGCCACTCCTCCACCAACACTAAGATCTTTTAGAATTAAAGACTAATTAACTAAATTTCTTACGAGCAAGAGCGAAAATGTTATTTGGAAATTAAACAATGATGAAGAATACTGGAAGCCCCGGTGTGAGGATGTGGGGGGTTTTGAGGGGGCGGGGGAGGGATGAGGAGGGGGGATCTAAGAGGAGGGGGGTTTTATGTTTGGGAAAGGGGGGAGAAGCCGCAGTCACGTTAAAGTTGAGCTGTGGTTATCCTGAATGGGTGCCTCACCCTTAGTGCCACCCCTACCCTCACCCTCCCCCATCAACCGGATGCCGCCACCACCCACCACCTCCCTTACCATCTGTATCACCCCACCACCCCTGCCATCCCACCACCCCTGCCTCCTGTCACCCTTGTCACTCCCCCCTGTCACCCCCACCACCCCTGCCATCTCTCACCCTACTCAGGAGAGGGCACATCGGGCAGCTGGCTGGGCCACACACTGTACAGTGGAACCTAAATTTGGCTTTTGTTGTGGTGTGTAGAAAGTATTGTTGCAAATGCCACCTAAGGATTTTATTTTTCAAATATTTGGATCTATAAAATGTGGTGCTTTTGTTTACTAAAAAAAAACCGAGCCGTCAAACGAGGAAGTAAAACTCTTCAACTCTTACTGAAATTTGTTGTGGTTAATGAGAGAAAAACATCCTTAACACACACATGTTTTATGATAATTATAATACACTAATTTGCACATAGTTTGACCAGTTAATGGTCCAAGTCGGACCGAAACGTCGTCATAAGCTTCTGTCTCCTATGTGCGGGTTATTTATGTATTGTTCCAGTCACGGTATTGTACCGCTTTTGTGTTCATTAAATAATTTTGAAAAACCCATAGGTTGCACAGTATTTCGAGCAGTACTGCAGTCCGTCTTCACACGGGTGTGTGTGTGTGTGTGTGTGTGTGTGTGTGTGTGTGTGTGTGTGTGGCGTCATTATGGGTCTTCTTTTTTGTCAGTGAGTTTGATCTTGGCTCGCCAGTATCACTGAGTGTACACCACAACATAAAACACCACAACATAAAACACCACAACATAAAACACCACAACATAAAACACCACAACATAAAACACCACAACATAAAACACCACAACATAAAACCAGAAATGTCATTTGGAATGTATAGATTTATAAATAAAGAGGCAGACTTGTCGGGTTATTACGCGTCATTATATTTAAAAGGTACACAATAAGTGTCCGGGGTCCAAGACTGATCAACAGCCTCCCACCAGCCATAAGGGAAATTACCAATAGGCCCCTTGCTGCTTTCAAGAGGGAACTGGACAGATACCTAAAGTCAGTGCCGGATCAGCCGGGCTATGGTCCATACGTTGGACTACGTGCGGCCAGCAGTAACAGCCTCGTTGATCAGGCCCTGATCCACCGGGAGGCCTGGTCATGGACCGGGTCTCGGGGACGTTGGTCTCCGGAATGTCCTCCAGGTAGGTAGGTAGACCTCCAGTGACTTCTTTTTTGTTTTGTTGTTGTTGTTGTTGTTACCGGAGCCTGAAGAAGCAAAGTTTTTCCCTGGAATTATGTTCTTGCGAGACAAGATGCAGTTTGTGGCATTTGATTTAGAAGACGTTTGGTTCACCAGGAACTTTATCAATTCTTTCTTTCAGTTCTACTAGGTTAATATTAACCGGAGAGCCAGGCAGTGTGGTTAGTTTCCCCTGGGTGCTTTGGCACTTTTTACCCAGGATGCGACCCACAGCAAACTAACACCCAGGTACCTACTTGCTGCTAGGTGAGCAGTAGTAGTAGGTGTAAGTAGGTATACCCGCAGACCCGCGAGATGTGTATTTTTGCAATCACCCCTGACCCCGTAGTCCCATAGATCCCCCCCCCCACACGCCTAAGCCTGTGGAGGCTTTACACTCTGCCTAACCAAAGAAACAGAACGTGCATTTTGTTGCACTGCTTAATCTAAGATAGTATAACTAGTGTGTTTACCTCGCTGTTTGTATCACTTTTATCATCTAGGGAAGCAGATAATATAACACCTGGAGAATGGAACGTAATCATGTTTGAATCAAGGAAGGAGAAGACATCTCTAATTCCTTGGATCAAAGGTCCTTCAGAGTGAGGGATGGAAAAAGTGTAGCTAGGTTGATCCCCGGAATGCCCTCCAGGTAGGTAGATAAGTTGACCTCACCGTTTCTGAGGTCAACTTGTCAAGCTCCTGAGGTCAACCTGCATCATACAAGTATCATACCTGTGTCATACAAGTAGCAGGTTGACCTCACTGTGCCTAGCACTGAGTCGTACACAATTTTAAACTTTTACAATGGATTATATAATGAAGCAGCATTTATCATATGATAAGCCAGTAACATCAAACAGTGTGAATTATTTCATGTACCTTACAGGAGCAAATACAACACACCTTTACCTGTGATTACATGGCGCAGTAAATAACACGAGTGTTTCGTGTTTGTTCCACAGAAAACTGTGGGTGTGGGAGTACCGTGCGTGAGGTCGAGCAGCATGACAGACTCTGACTTGTTCAGTCGTGGACGAGGGTGTTCCCGTCGCTGGTGTGTGTGTCTGGTGCTGGCCGTACTCTTCGTCTCCCTGGGAGCTGCCGCTGGCATCTACTTTGCCTGTAAGTAACCCGCATCATCATTCTCTCTCTCTCTCTCTGTCCACTCCTCGTTACTGTTATGGAGATAAACGGTATAAAATACCCATACGATGGAAAGTAAGCACAAATGCACAATAATGCAACATTCTCCACCTTGTATATACTCTTGTACTCTTTGCCCAGGTAGATCTGTTTGTGACTTGATAAAGTTACCGTTGTATTTATTTTGTGCTCTAAACCCTTGTAAGTGGTGAAGGTTCGATCCTCCCTCCCGTCTCTCGAGATCAAATCTCTACAATTGAAACCTTTTATAGTATGTTTCTCTCCGTTCTGGACCGAAAGTTCACTTTTTTTTCTCACATAGATGAATTTTACAACTACGAACTGTTGCCTTACTTCAGCTCATTTAAAACTCCAGTTCTATCTATAATACTCAATACCCCTGCCCCTGGATGCCATCCCAATCAGTAGATTAACACCCAGGTATCTATTTACTGCCAGGTGACCAGGTGCGGTAGGTGTAAGGAAATATGCCCAATATATCCACCCGTGCCGGAGAAAGAACCACGGACACTCAGTATGTGAGGTGAAAGCGCTGCCAACTGAGCCACGAGACACCCTTGTGTGACATTCAGCACCAGGAATAAAAGCTGCGCTATCTTATGCTCGCTAAGCTCGGACCGGACTTTGATCAATCAGGCTGTTTCTAATTAGTCAGTTTTAGGAAATGATTTAGGATAGCAGATTACAATAGTATCAGAGTTTGTGTACGAGCCATCCCATGTTAACATGGCGGGAGAGAAGAGAAAGAATAAACCCATTAGATTAAAGACAAGAAAGTCAGACTACACAACATTGAAGCAAATTATAAGGAAAATGCACATGAAATACGAGGATGAGTTGAATGAGAGGTGTATGTTAGGAAATAGTGAAGTTGTACATTATGATGATGGTGTATTAGTGAATATGAATGTGTGGTACGAAGATGGTAGAATAGAGGGGATGGTGGGGGAGGAGTGGTTCAGGTTAGCTGTGTGTGTGTGTTTGAGCCTGTTAGGTTGACGGAGCAACTCCGTGAGAGGAGAAACTGATTGAGGAAAATACTTCTCTTCTACCCTCTCCTTCACTTACCTGTATTCTCTTCCCTTCTCCCTTTTCTTTCTTCTTTTTACAGCTTTACCCTTGATGCTCTTTCATATTCTGTCTCTCACACACATACACAACACACAAGCAAATCCAAATAATTACTTGTAATCTGCCAGCATTTTAAACGTGAGCGGGACGCGAGTTGTAGCAATAATGACGACAATTAATCATGTATTGCACTCGTTGTTAAAGGTGTGTGTGTGTATTCACCTATTTGTGGTTGCAGGGGTCGATTCACAACTTCTGGCCCCTCTTCGCTGGTCGCTACTAGGCCCACACTCCCTGCTCCATAAACTTTATCGCACCTCTTAAAGCTATGTATGGATCCTGCCTCCACTACATCCCTCTCCAGATTGTTCCACTTCTTGACAACTCTTGACTGAAGAAATACTTCCTAACATCCCTGTGACTCGTCTGAATATTTAATTTCCAGTTGTGACCCCTTGTTGCTGTGTCCCATCTCTGAAACATCCTGTCCCTATCCACCTTGTCAATTCTTTTCAGTATGTCGTTATCATGTCCTCCCTATCCCTCCTGTCTTCCGGTGTTGTCAGGTTGAGTTTCTTAACCTCTCCTCGTACGACATGCCCCTTAACTCTCGGACTAGTCTTGTTACAAACCTTTGCACTTTCTCTAATTTCTTGAAGTACTTGACTAGGCGTGGGTTCTATACAAGTGCTGTGTGCGCGTAGCACTTAAGAGACACTCCGACAGTGTTACTTCAGTACTAATCTGTGCAGCATTCGAAGCTTCATTTGGTCTCTCATTTTTCCCAAGTAAAAAATTAATCTTTTGTCAAAGTTATTACAATTATTGTCCTTAAGTTCAATTACGAAACACTGGAGTGTGCTCAGTCACTAAATGTCTCCCATACTCTATACGTCTTCCATACTCTACCCTAAGTGTGTGTACCATTCTAGGCTAAGATAATGGTGGCTCGCATTATTTAAAATCAAAAGGCAGGATAATCTTAGTTTCAAAAGCACAAATATTTAGAAATAAGGCATAACACGTAGCAATATTTTTTCAACTTGTAGGCAAAGTATTCCCGAGCAGCGAGGTGAAATATTGCTTTCAGATATCGAACGGCAAATATAAGGAATAGATAGCCAGAGGAAGTAATGGAAAGAGAGTAATATCGTAGAGAGGAAATAATGGACTAATATCGCATCTACGTTTGGAAATTTGTAAGATTAATTATGTTTAAGAACTGGGTGAATTGTATTTTAAATCTCGTTTTGAAGCTTCCATTAGAAATGTCTTTACATAGCCTCGTGTGTCTGCCTTGATTAACAGCCTTGTTTAGCAGCCTTAGTTAACAGCCGATGTTAGCAGCAGTGTTTGACAGCGTTGTTTAACTGGTTTCTTTGACAGTTTTAATAACCTTTTTCCACTCGCTTTACCCTACTAGCTTGTTAAACAGCTGTGTCTGACAGCCCTGTTGAATAGCATTATTAACAGTAATATTAAACAGCCTTATTGTAACTCAAAAGTCTACCGCTCTTTAATGTCTATTTTATTAATTGATGTCGAGGGCAGGCGTCATGGACATGGCTACACTGTCAGTGTAATAACAGCTTGCTACACTGACAGTGTGAGGTAAACAGCTGACTACACTGTTTCTTTGGCAACTGGCTACAATATCAGTATTACGTCGGCTGAGTACACTGTCACATTGAGAGATAAATACACTGCCAGTTGGCTACATTCAGTATTACACTGGCAGTTACCTGCACTCAGTAATGTACTGACAAGTGACTACACTGACAGCTGACTACACTGGTAGTATGGCACTGACAGTTGGTTACACTGGCAGTAATACACTGACAGTTGGAATCAGGACACAACTCTATTACCAGTAATAATGACATGCCAAGATTAATATCCGTATTATTAAAGAAGCTTGATTAGCTTCCTGATTTACATTATAATATTGTGAAGTAATCATTACATGCACTAGTAATAATAACTTTTTTATTATTATTGCTTATTATCACTGCAGCCTAGAGGTTGGTGTTGTGTGAGGTCTCCAAAGCCTCGTATCTGATGCTGAAATTTCATAATTGTGTTGACTTCTCATCAGGGTTAAACGCTGTGTGATCCTTGTGGGTTAAGCGTTTTTCCTTGATAGTAATACTACTCTACACCAAGGTGTGACATTTCAAGGATAGTTACTGAGTATGGAAAAGCAATTCGAGGATTACCTTTAAACTGTGTGTGTGTGTGTGTGTGTGTGTGTGTGTGTGTGTGTGTGTGTGTGTGTGTGTGTGTGTGTTCTCGCACCCCATAACCCTAGCCTCCTCTACCTCGGTGATCTGAGAAAGGTATTTCGTATCTCATAAACCTAGCTCCCTCTGCCACAATATACTCAAAAGTAATAGTACAAAGTGAAGCACAAGTTTCTGATGCATTTCAATATCAGTGTTGAATATTTGAAGCCAGAACTCTTTTTATACATATCTCAAGAGACCAGAATCCCGAAATACACCAGAACTTTAAATCTAGTGCCGTTCATAGGTTTGAAGCCAATCGGACGAAGGATTAACATATTGCAAGAAAACCATTTAAATTTTTCCCAATTCGATCAAATTTACCAAAGGACACACACCTGCAGGTATCAGTAGTTCCATATATCTTTCTCTAGTTGCATGTCACCAGCATTGGAAATTTCAAACCGATCTGACGAAGCGCAAACTCTGGAGGAACGAAAAACAAGTCAGACAACTTGAGTGTGACTAGTTTGTGTACTAGGCAAATATCAACCTCTTAAACAGCGGGGAGTGTGCTCCGTGGAACCTGAATGAGTGATTATTCTAAGAGCAGATTTCTGCTGGGTAACAACGGGTCTAAGATTTAAGACTCGTGTGCAGCAGTCGGGTACCTTTACTGATGAAACGTTTCGCCTACACAATAGGTTTCTTCAGTCAAATACAGAGGCAGCCGGTGTATCTGAAGAAGCCTACTGTGTAGGCGGAACGTTTCAACAATAGAGACCCAACTGTTGCAAATGTCTTAATCTTCAACTTCTCGGTATTTTATACCATTTTCAACAGCAGCTACTCTTGTCGGTTTAGCGCTTTCTTTGATTATAATAATTTCAACAATAGGTTTAAGGTGATTTGCTGTTAAAGGTGCAGCTTCGTAGAGCCATAATTACACATTTTGATCATGTTAATAGACGTAATGGAAAGAGGACGTGAAACATTACAGCGACCCTCTACTGTGTCAGTGCCGATCTAGTCCATTTTCTCCACTGCCTAGGGTATGTAATATGGTTTGATCCAAGAAAGAGGCTGTTCCGGCTGCTTGGCTCTACCAGCATGAGGGCAACATCCTTGAAAGGAGACTATTGCAGAGCCCAGGGATGGCACCATCTTTGAAGGGAGACTGTTCCAGAGCTCAAGGATGGCACCATCCTTGAGGTGAGACTGTTCCAGAGCCCAGGGATGGCACCATCCTTGAGGGGAGACTGTTCCAGAACCCAGGGATGGCACCATCCTTGAAGGGAGACTGTTCCAGAGCCCAGGGATGGCACCATCCTTGAGGGGAGACTGTTCCAGAGCCCAGGGATGGCACCATCCTTGAGGGGAGACTGCTCCAGAGCCCAGGGATTGCACCATCCTTGAGGGGAGACTGTTCCAGAGCCCAGGGATGGCACCATCCTTGAGGGGAAACTGTTCCAGAGCCCAGGGATGGCACCATCCTTGAGAGGAAACTGTTCCAGAACCCAGGGATGGCCGAGAGAGCCACTTTATCCCAGAATGTTGAGGATATCCCAGGTAATCAGATTGTAAATCCTACGAGTAATTGAACTAATCAAAGACGCTTGTATTCTGGGTGTAGGGAAGGGGAGTATAGTGCCAAGGATACGACCA